CCCCGCCTCCCCCCTCCCCCTGCCGTAAGGGGTGGCCTGGGAACATCTTCAGGTCCCACCAGCTTCCTCCTTACCAAATCCTGCCTTCTCACTCACGTCCTGGCAGAATCCGTGACCGTTCCCAGCCCTGCTCCGTCATCAGCACCTTCTGCAGTGCCTGGAGGTCACCCTCCTCTCCCGCAGCGGGGACAGCCCGCGGCAGACCTCTGTCCCTCTTCTCACACTCTGTGTCTCTCTGTTTTGTTGAAAGCACTGATTCCAGTTTGGGCTGTGAAATTCTGCCCAAACTGCAAAATAGTCTGTAATTTTTGTGTTAATAAACTGATAATTTTTTCCTGTAACAGCAGCTGTGTCGGTTTTTATTGCTAATGCTTGCCCGCCTCGTCACAAATATGGTGTCTGTCAAAAAAGCGTATGAAAAAAACAAGCGTCAGGCCAGACTTCTGTCTAACCCACTTACTATTTTCTGGGCTCAAATGCAGAAGAGATTAAAATGCCCTTTCTGTTTTCAAACTTCTCATTCCTTTGAAAACCTTTTCAGAAGTAAAGTCTCCTGGGAAGAAAAATATTTACTGAAGAAAAATTCAGAAACTCATTGAACACAACGCTATAATCTGAATGATGGTGCTGTACCCTTCCTTTGTCATGAATTCCACAAAAAGAACAAATCTGAACTTATAATGAGAAATACGTATATTTTCAAAATACTTTTAGGCTCGTGCACAAAAGCAATCCTTGTCTCGTGGAAGCTCAGTCAGCACACAGTCTTAGCAGTTGCTCTCATTTATATACCTAAGGATCAGCACTCTGGAAAGTAAAATGAAAACAAGATTTCTCAGTAAATGTGTGTTTCCATCTGCTTTCCCGTCTCTATTTCCTGCCCTTCAGCAATGCTGGCTTTCCACCTATGCCAAGAAAAATTAATCCCAATTCAACTTATTTTTGCTTCCAAGTTAATCCAATTTATTTCAGCATAAACCAGCTCCTCTCAAAGAAGCAGGAGCATTAGGACAGCAGCCCAGCACCTGCTTTGCAGGGGATGCTCACTGTGGCTGCAGCTACTGCACCAGGGCAGCTGGGGCGAATGCCCCAGGCTCCAGCTGCCTGTCCCCTCTTTGGATATGAGGTGCAGCTCTTGAGTTGGAATCAGAGATATCCCTGCAAAGGAGAGAGACAGAGGATGCTTGTTGAAAAGCAAAATGTTGTAAAACTATGAGGAGCCACAAGCAGTTGGGAGGGCAGTATTAGGATTCAAAATTGTCTTGATAAATTGAAAAACTGCTGAAGGGAATGGGATGCGAGCCCATAAGCACAGGTGCAAAGCACAAGAGCAGGCACGGTCACTGCACAAAACCAAGAGGGGCAATGACTGGTAGGCAGCAATCTCTCCAAATGGTGTTTTGTAGATACAGAGGCTCACAGAGGTCATGTGAATCAATAATATCCTGCCGTTGTAATCGAAGCAAATATCATACTTGGATGCATAAATACAAATATTTCTCAAAAATTTTTCCTTTGCATCTCCTTTCACTAGATGAAATGAGACAGTGTCCTTCAACCCTGCTTGGAGATTTAAGTATAAAGGCAACTGCATTTGCTCCAAAATGAATCTTGCCTACATATTCTATAGTGAAAATGAGAAATTTTTAAATCAAAATAGTCACTAGAAATCGCTAGAAGCAAATGACATGCATCTGTATACTTGATTCAATTTTCTTTTAAGATAAGATTTTAAAAAATACCGTCTAAAAAGGAGTGGATGAACTTTGGCATGCAAATGTGAAAGGTTAAAGCAAGAACATCTGATGAGCAAGAGCACAAGGCTGAAATCATGGTGTAGCCACAGAAAGGGAGTAGGTAAAAGAGGATCACACTAGGGGAACTTGGCATAACAGTCCTCATGTTAATAAATGGCAGCTGCTAAATTGCATTTAGGTGGATACAGATAACATAGCATAAAGCACTTCCTCAGCTTTCCTAAGCTCTGACATAGGTTTCCTGGGGCATCTGCATTTTCAGTGGTTTTAAGAGCAGATCACCATTATGTGCTGCATAATCCAAAAGGCTAAAGAAGGCAATGAATGTGGTGTAAGGCTACATCAGGGTACCTCTGGTCTGGCTTTTGCGGGGAGAATGAATGGGGGGCAGAGGAAAGGCTGCACTGCTGCTTTTCCAGCTGGATCATCTAGTATGTGAGCGGTCCTGGCCCTGGGACCGACCAGCCAGGCTGCTCCTGCCTTTGCCCCACTCAGCCACTGGTCCCCTCGTGACTTTTAGGGTTCATGAAAAATCTGCTTCTCCATATCTGAGGAAGAAAAAGAGAGGTGCTCTGCAGCATCCCCATCCTCCTCTCTGCATTGTGCCTGTGGCTTCTTGGCATGGGAAGGGAGCAGAGCCTGCTTCTCTCTACAGTTGCATATCCAAAACGAATACTGCATCTGCACACAAAGCTCTCCTCAGTGCTGACACCCTCAGAGGCCATGAGCTAGAATCACGCTCTTCTAAATAATGCCATACATGGCAGCCCAGTTCCCACTGTCCCCAAGCCACATGGGCCAGCGCTGCATGTCAGGCCAGGCAGCCCACCTCCCATATCCCACATCTTGCATCCCATGTCCTGCATCCTGCATTATCCCATATCCTGCATCCTGTATCCTGCATTATCCCACATCCTGCATGTTGCATCCTGCATCCCATATCCTGCATCCTGCATCATCCTTCATCTTGCATCATCCTGCATCATCCCATATCCTGCATCCTGCATCCCACACCTTCCGTGTCTGCTCCGCTTTTGAACCACAGAGCTGGGCTGAGGTGCAACAGGGCTTCTGGGACAACGGTGTCCCAGGGCCAGAGCGAGTCAGATCTTTCCAGAATGTAATTTCTGAGAGCACCTCCCCTCCAATTACCTTTTCCCCGCTAGATATTAGAGACATGGTAGTAATAAAAGGACCTGGTCATATGTGATGTATAACTCAGAGCAATAAAGACAGTCAAGGACTGGATGCAGAGAGGTTACCTCATGCTTTAATCCTTCCCTACTTTCTGCTGAAAGGGTAATTGCAAAGATGATGAGCTGACCTTGGACTGTCTGATTCAGACGTTCAGATAACTAATTTAACAAGAGAGGCGCTATGCGGGGCGCAACAGGATAAGTCTTTGTTTCAGTTTAAAATATCTTGGATTTTTCTCATTGCGACAGCTTGAGATTTCAATAACGGCAGAGCAAAGACGCCATCTGCTCATGCAGTTATTCCTTTCCCCACGGAGATTGTCATAATAGCTGTACCCACATCCTGGTTACATGAAGGGCCCTTGTCCGTTGCAGCCTGGGGGTGATATGTCCTTGCACACCGCCAAGCACGACAGGAGCACAGAACCAGCAGCAAGAGCAGGCTGCTCACACCACCGGGGAACGCGGTCCCCGCACAGGACCCACACCACTCTCCAGGCAAACCCATCATCAGATGGTACCAGCAATTTTCATCTAAACCCCACTGGGATTTTACATTGGAAGCAGTCTGTAAATTAAATAAGTATTGCAACATATTTGCAAGACAGCTGTATTAAATGCTTCCAGATATAAATTCATCCTGGAGACGTGCACAGTCAGATGGGATCCAGGCAGCTCACATTACTCTGCAACACTTGCTGGGCTCGTGCCGTGATTTCCTCATGGATCATGTGTTTGGAAACTTGAAACATTATTTTTTTTGCATTACAGCTACACTTCATCTGTCAGCACCAAGCACTGCAGGAACACACAGGGACAGATGGGCCTGGACTCATCTTCCTATCCAAATAAACATGGGAACACTCAGGAAAGCAGCTGTGGCAAGGTCACGCTCTGGGGCAAAGCACCAGTTTGCCACCTAAATGTCACCTGCTCAGTAAACCCATCCTTCTGCAACAAATGCCACCAGTATGAGTTAAGCCAAGAGGAAGATCCTCTCCTTTTTCTGTGGAGGTGCCTAAATTAAGTGAAGAGACACCCAAGATCCTGAAAGTGACTTCCACAGCCTGACGTGTCCGTGGTTGTGGGATGGGATGGGAATTCTTCAGCATAACGTTTGTTGTGGTTCCAGTTCTGGCCTGACCTGCCATGGCACGCACTGCCATCATGTCGACATCCACAGCATCGAGCCGGCTGGGCACAGGATCTTTGCAAAGATTTGGGGACCTTCCAAGCATCCGTTAGCACCCAGCCTCAGATGTCCAGAAGGTCAAGCCAAAGCTCTGTTCACCCTGCCAACCTCCCCAGACCTCCCTGGCTCTCAGGAGACTTTTGTAGCTACTTTTTCACGCCGAGATGTTCTTTCAGAGGTTCCATACTTCAGCTGGGATGCCTGGGAGCAACACGGCTGTAGGTTCTCCGGGTGCTAAGCAGACTGCTTCTGGCCTTGTCCCAACCCCTTACAATGACCAGACCAGTGCTGTCCCCTTTCACTTTCCTCTGCTTGCAGCTCTGTGGCCACTTCACTTTCCCTTTTGAACTTCCACTGTTTCTTCCCTTGCAAATATCCCTGATTTACCTTCCCCAGGTTGTGCTGAACAGTGTAAGACCAAATGTTCATGGCCCCTCTTACCATGAAATCTCTGAAATAACTGAGAAAGGCATTTCTCTCCCCTCCACCAGTGAAACAGAAAATGCAGAGGCTGAAGGCTGGTTGAGGCACCCAGTTTTGCTATCACTCAGGCCCAGAATCTTGTTCCAAATGCCCATAAATGTGGGTTTAGCCACTCTGTTCCCTACAT